GGGCGCCTGGGTGGCGCAGTCGGTTGAGCGTCCGACTTCAGCCAGGTCACGATCTCGCGGTCCGTGAGTTCGAGCCCCGCGTCGGGCTCTGGGCTGATGGCTCGGAGCCTGGAGCCTGTTTCCGATTCTGTGTCTCCCTCTCTCTCTGCCCCTCCCCCGTTCATGCTCTGTGTCTCTCTGTCCCAAATAAATAAATAAACATTGGAAAAAAATAAAATGAGATACCTTTGTACCTTTTGAACCAGACGTCTAATTGTATGGGAGGCATGAAAGGTAATGGGTTTTTTCCTCACTTCTTTAGGGATAGGAGGAAAGAGGCGGGGTGGAGTGTATCTGAAAAAGTTGTTTTTTTGGTTTTTTCACTTAACGTTGAAATCAACACGTGATCCGGACATAAGAATCTTAAGAGCTCTACTTGAAGAGGCACGATTTCTAAATATAATTTTATACATCCAGAATCTAAATGATACCTCTTCCAACATAGGAAGCAAAAATAAATAAATAGGTAAATACATAGGTAAATACATAAACAAACAAATAAATGCATTTGGATTGAGAGATCTGGAGCTTTTTGCCCAAAAGCAAAATGCCGTTTGAGTAGAAACTGAAAGGGAGTTAAAAATTTGTACGAGTTTAGCTGTTGAAATTGGTAGGCTTCGTGGTGAAAAGCTAAAGAAATCCTTTTTTAGAAGTATATACTTCATCTCTAAATCGTGGCCACCTCAAACAAGATAGGAAGAATGTAAAAAAGAGGAGAGAGAGAAAGAGAGGAAAGCAAAGAAAATGGGGTCTGTGTGAAGTTTTATTACAGGGTAGGACAAGTAATAATATCACCTTGAGCATCCAATTCCAGGTACAAAACTTACTTTCTAAATTTGGTTGAGAATAAAATTGGCTTTAGTCTCCATGTGAAATCTACCAGAAGGCACTGAGCTGTTCGCAGAGACGATATGCACCATGTTTTATTTGCCGTAGTCAATAAACAGAAGGTTCATGCTTCAGAGAGAAAGAAGCATGAAAATTGGTGTATTCTTTTCTCCTTTTAGGTTAATACTTGGATAAGACATTGTATTAATTTCACCATCTTTTTTTTGGAGGGCGGTGGGGGGGACGGGGGGATAAAGGGCTTAAAGTCCCGAAATGATGTTCGTAAATGCCATTTATGTTGATTTGATCACTGGTGAAGAAAGGGGACCATTTGTGGTCAGTCTGTATCTGACCCTTACTTTGACAATAAAGCACGTCCCGAACTGTGCAGAATTGGAGAATATTGAAACTCACCACGCAGAGATCACACCCACAAGATGGCTATAATTAAAAAAAAAAAGAGAGAGAGAGAGAGAAATGATCATAAATGTTGGTAAAGATGTCGAGAAGCGGGAGCCCTTATACAGTGCTGGAAGGAATGTAAACTAGAGAAGCTTCTTTGGAACGAAATCCGGGGGGTTTTCAGGTGGTTAAACGTGGAATTACCATGATACAGAGCAGCGTGGCTCCCAGCGACATATGCAAGAGAAAACATGCCCACGCAAAAACTTGTACACGAATGTCTATACCAGCATTATGCACAGTAGCCAAAAGGTGGAAACCCGAAAGTCCATCAACACGTGAGCGGATAAATGAAATATGGCTGCGACATACAATTAAATACTATTCAGCCTTTAATAAAAGGGAGGATATTCTCATACACGCTCCGACCCGGGTGAACCTTGAAAGCATCACTCTCAGTGAAAGAAGCCGGTCCGAAAAGGCAAAACATGATATGATCCCGCTTCCATAGGGCACCTGGAAGAGACAAATGCAGGGACAGAACACAGAGTAGTGGTCACCACAGGCTGTGGGGAGGGAGGATGGGGAGATGATGTTTAATGGACACAGAGCTTCAGCTGGGGAAACTGACAAAGTTCTGGAAGGTATAGTGGTGAGGGTTGCATTGTGCATTGTGAATGTAAAGCCATTGAATTTTACGATTAAAATGGTGAATTTTGTGTTATGCATAGTGTATCCCAATTCTAAAAAAAAGGAAGAAAATATAGCTTCGTTAGATACAAAAGTTGTAACCTTAGTAAGATTTACAGATCTTAATTTGGATTGATTGTGGCTACAAAAATGCTGACTGGAGAGAAAATGCTAATACAGGATTGGTGCGTACTCCGACATAGAGGGGCTTTGAACACATAAGTGAAAGTCAGCCTCGAGGACTGTGTATTATACGGGTCCATAGATAGGAACTTCCCCAGAAAAGGCAAATCCATAGAGACAGAGAGCAGACAAGCTATTGCCGAGGGCTGGGAAGGGACAGAAGGATAACATCTAAGGGGAGTAGCTATTTTCAGAGCACTCTTTTTGGAGTAACGGAAGTGCCCGGAAGTGGATTGTGGGAGTTGAATGTCCAACTCTGTGAATATATTAAAAACCATTGAATTGAACACTTGAAAGAAGGGAACTGGGTGGTAGGTGATCTCAAAGCTATTTTTATTTTATTTTTTTTTTTTTAATTTTTTTTTTTTCAACGTTTATTTATTTTTGGGACAGAGAGAGACAGAGCATGAACAGGGGAGGGGCAGAGAGAGAGGGAGACACAGAATCGGAAACAGGCTCCAGGCTCTGAGCCATCAGCCCAGAGCCCGATGCGGGGCTCAAACCCACGGACCGCGAGATCGTGACCTGGCTGAAGTCGGACGCTTAACCGACTGCGCCACCCAGGCGCCCCTCAAAGCTATTTTTAAAAAAGAATACAGGAACTCTAGAAATACACTGAGGCCATTAACATCTACTTTACCACGGCTATCCCAAATAGAAATGTAACGAGAATTCAAAACCATAAGCCGCTCCGTCAGGTAATTCTTGCCGTCATAATGCTGTCAAACAACCCCCCCCCCCACCTTTAGTGGCAGGCAATTTGCAAGTGTCCCCAAGACAGGTGTGCTGAGCGGACCGTGGCCCTGAGAGTAGGGACACTTGGCCCATCTGGGCTGATCTAGAATGGCCCCCTCTGAAATGACTCAGTTCTGACTCACCATGTGGCCAACGAACCCAGGCACCCCTTACAACGGTGGCAGCGAAGCAAGAGAAGAAATGGGGAAAAAGGCAAGGCTGTTCCAAACCTCTTCATGTATCAGCGTTCCACTACCCAAAGCCAATCTCGGGGCCCAACTCAGAATCCAGGGTCAGGAGAGCAAACTCTGCCTCGTCTGTATTTCCTCCCCACTACAATTATATCAGAAACTTTGAGACATCTTGCCTTTTTTCCCCCAGTTTAATCTTGATTTGAATAATAGAAACATTTAACGTTTTTGTGATTCAGCTTGATCATGACCGCATCATTCAAGTAGATTTAAAAGCAACTAGAGGGGCGCCTGGGTGGCGCAGTCGGTTGAGCGTCCGACTTCAGCCAGGTCACGATCTCGCAGTCCGCGAGTTCGAGCCCCGCGTCGGGCTCTGGGCTGATGGCTCAGAGCCTGGAGCCTGTTTCCGATGCTGTGTCTCCCTCTCTCTCTGCCCCTCCCCCGTTCATGCTCTGTCTCTCTCTGTCCCAAAAATAAATAAAAACGTTGAAAAAAAAAAAAGCAACTAGAATCTGATATGTAACAGCACATTCTGATATCAATGCCCCTGGACGATACTGTGCATGATGGGAGCCTTGACTGTGTCTGGTATCTTCTCTCTAAAGCATCTTTGTAGCAAGATGTCTTTGCTGCAAGTATTTTTCACCACTGAGCATTTTTGCTGTGCCACTTAGCGGTGAGGCAATTTTGCCATAAAAAAATTTAAAGAGATAAAAAAAATAAATAACTGTTGACAGTTTGGTTTCATTTCTCCATTGACATGATACTCTCATTTTTACAGCCTATAAATCTGAGCCCTCATAACGGTCCATACAGGGGCACGGATTTGAACCCACATTTCCATTAGAACTTTGGAACGTCTATCAAAGGACATGTCGACAATATGCCAAGAAAACAACAGTGTTTCACAAGGGCGCTTTCACAACACGCTGCCAAAATCAGTTACAAATAGGTATCCCAGTATTTGGAAACTGACACCTCTCTTAAAGAAGGAAGGAATTTTAGCAAAAGAAAAAAAGAAAAAAAAGAAAAAGCGTGATGCCAAACGAGGAGACAACTTGAGATGACCAAATATGTACATATGGATACTCTGAATGAAGTCTTTAAAGACAAGTGTTTAAGTACAATCCACAAAATAAAATCCGTTATTTGCACAGTGTTACCATGACCCTACACACACTTTAAATGCATTCAAATATTTTGTCCTTCTCAACAAAGCCTTTTCAATTTTGTTATCGATTTTTCAATGCTTCATCGTGTCCTTTTTAAGGAATGTCTCTCCTTAAAAATCTTTTCGTGATTTTTAGCTTTTATGGCAAAATCGCTTTATGGCCAATTAGGAATGTGGCAAAAGCGTTTGCAGCAAAAAAAAAAAAAAAAAAAAGCTTGTGGCAAAGATGCTTACGGCCAGACTACGGAGAATCCAGCTTGATGATTTGCCTTTTAATTATAGGAAATTTTAGCTTTTACAAAGATAACTACTTTTTTTTTTAATTTTTTTTTCAACGTTTTTTATTTATTTTTGGGACAGAGAGAGACAGAGCATGAACGGGGGAGGGGCAGAGACAGAGGGAGACACAGAATCGGAAGCAGGCTCCAGGCTCTGAGCCATCAGCCCAGAGCCCGACACGGGGCTCGAACTCACGGACTGCAAGATCGTGACCTGGCTGAAGTCGGACGCTTAACCGACTGCGCCACCCAGGCGCCCCAAAGATAACTACTTTTTAAAGTGCCTTTCTAAATATTCTTGTCTTATCACTGAAATGCATGCCTGTACGCACAAGTCTAACTGGCCTAGGAAAACGCCCGCTCCCGCCCACACCCCCACAGCTCTAGACTGTGGATAAAAAGTGCTATGTCATTGATAGAACACATGATAACTCTTTATGTTCGTTGACCAGATTGGTTCATTTTATTTGCGTTGTAATTAGACTGTGATGTCTTTCTGCATCTCGTTCTGACTTAAAGTTTTGGATTTGCGTTTTTTATTTCCAGAGAGTGGCTTCGTATGTGGGAAATTAAAACCTATTTTTGCCTGGCAGTCTAAAATGACTTTGAATCCTAAACGGGTCTCACGTGGTCAGCCTTTAAGACCTCCTTTTTTTGTTGTTACATTTTCTGCGTGATGGACTGGATCAGTTACATGAATTATGCAACAAACGCCCACCTTATCTTGTTGGGTACACTTCTCATCCCCAGGCAAGGATCAGAAGAAAGAAATGATTATATCATTAGATTTTTTTTTTTTTTTTTTTTTAAGTGGTGGCTGTGGTTGATTTTGTAGGGAGTGATTTGAAAGTGGTGGCTCCGGGTAGGAATCTAAAGCCGATCCTTTACTGGGAGGCTTAAGTAATTGTACCTGCCAGGAAAGAGACCAGAGCTCTGCTCTCACTCACCTCCCCCTTTCGTGTGTTCCAATTACCGGGAAGGTTAATGGTGCTGAACAACAGAGGTATGAAGGCGCCTTTCATTGCCTGCAGCATCAGGAAACCACCCCCTCCCCAACTCATTTACCTTCCCTTGGGGTTTATGGAGAAAGACAGAGCATTCTCTCACACGCCAGAGAACATGAGAACCGACTTCTCACAGCCGAGCACAACTTGGCCAACATTTTCTGGACAACAGTTCTATCCCGTTCAGAGCCAGCCTGGAATGTCATGTGAACTCGAATACCGAGCCCAATGTCCTGTAAGAGGAGTTAACGAAGTTCCTTAATCTTGGGAAATCAGCAAACTGCCTTGGGCGACCACACTCTTCTAAATGTTATCCCCAGTGAAACTACTGACTAATCGGGCAAATGCAGAGGAGGCGAGGAGAGTTTTTCCTTGCATTTTTTTTATGCTGAATTAACAACAAGAATTGGGGTATAAAGGCTAACAGGCAGTACCGGGCCCGTGTGTAAAGGCACCCACCTGTGCTACGTAGATTCTTTCATCCTTCTTTCATGATGTAGCACATCGTGATGTCGCCACCCCTAACGTTGAAAGCATCCTGTAGATGTCCTTTGTGACCTCTCTTCTTGAAACATCGTCCTCCCTGCAGACTCCGTCAGGATGAACCTTACATGGAAGTGATAGGTGCCTGTGAGCAGGGCAGATTTTCAGCGAGTGGAAATGAACTTCTGACCCCAGCAAATCTCTCTCGTTTGCTACAGACTTGCTAATATTTAGCCTAAGACAAAACCCTTGTCTCCTTTCCTCGTTATCGTTTCAAACATGTAGCCAAGGCGACTGTAAGGCAGGCAATGTTGCTGTAAAGGCTCCCTCATCCAATCCCTCCGCTTTGATCCGGGGCAGGACATCAAGCCCCAAGAAAGGGTAACGTATGTAAAGAAAAAGATCACTGGAATAGGGTTTGCCGAGATAAAATATAGCAGGCCCGGATGAATTCGAATGTCAGAGAACATGTAGTTTGGGGGACATCTCTATCCTGAACAAATATAAATCTGGCAACTCTCCATTAGGGTGCAATACAGAGATGGGGGTGATAAAAAGTGGGCGGGGGGCACGGAAGGAATCAAAAATAAACATGATGCGTCACTGTTTTGTCTAGGGCAAGGGTCAGCAAACTCTGGCCTCAGGGCCAAATCTGGTTTCAATGAAGTTTTACTGAGACACAGCCACATCCACTCTCTGGATACAGTCTAAGGCCGCTCCCACTCACCAGAGTCCAGAAGCTGCAAGAAATGCAGTATGGCCCATAGAGCCTAAGATATTTACCATCTGACCGTTTACAGAAAAGGCTGACCACGCTTTTGTCCCAGGTAAAGTCCTGAAATGACAGTTGTCATCGTAAATACTTGTGATTCTCATCTCTGCTGAAAGGCTTCTTTCCATAAGCGTGCCCTCAGTGACAAAGCAGAAAATATGTAGGATATTAAACAAGTGATACTATTTTACTCGTCGGGATTAAACATAAGACCGTCATGTTACTTTAAGAAAGATAAACAGAGCTTTGAGAAAGTGTCCTCTACGTCACCGTTTGTGTTTCAGAGCTCCAGACAGCCTCGAGGCGACCTTTAATCTCTCGGCACAATGAAGCAGAGGATATTATAGAAGATTCGGGGGAAATCCAATCCACCCGCCCACCAGCTCTCCCAATCTTCAGCAGGACATTTCCTACCCAATGTGGTTCAAAGTGGCTTAAGGAAGCAACTGTTCCATTCTCGTGCAAATCACTGTGGTTCTGGAAGAAGGAGGGAACGGTAGAATTAATCTCCAGGTAGTAAGAAGAAAAGGCGGGCTTACAGAGTCTGTTGATGCGCCAGTGAGTAGCTGGAGGAAAAAGCCTTCACGTGGAAAGTGGGGTTTTATTCCTCAGGGAACCGACACGAGCCTGGTGCCCTGGGCTGAAGCCGGCTTGGTGGGTGGGTAACGCGAGAGCGGCCTGGGGACCAAAGTCGCCCCCGTCCGCTGACGCGGATGGCAGGCAGAAACAGGATGAAGTTCGCCCGGCAGCTCAAGGTTTGAAAATCTAGTTTGCAAACCAAAATCAAAGACGAAAATTCTATTTGCAGTCTACCTGTACAATGTGTGCGTTTGATTTTCAGATTACGAAGGGTCAAAGGAGGAGCGATCCCTCAAAGCGTATCAGCTGCCGGGATTCCCCGACTCGGCAGCCGAGCGGGGATGGTGGAGGAATGAATCTAGACCCCACTGCCAGCCGCCCGGCCAGAGACTGAAGAAGGCAGGTGAAGGGATTTCCTGCCGTGCGCGGTAAACAACGCTGCGCACAAATAGGCCGTGACCTACATGGTGTACGAGACCAAAGAAGAAATAAGGAAACCAGCTGGTTGGCGTTGAGGACAGAGGACCAGAGCAGAGTCAGTGGGGACTTGAGGCTCCCGAGTGTCTGGGCACGGAGACGGTACAGAGGCCAAAAGTCAGGACACGACAGCTTGGCACGGGGCCCCTCACCGGAGGCCCGTACACCTGTCTCCGCACTTCTGATGGGAAAGTGAAATCGCCTGTATTTTATAAAAGCGCTTCGCAGAAAATGGCCAGGCCCAGTGACAGAATGATAATTCAATAAATGCACATTATTAGTAATAGAAATAACTGTAAGAATCTCATAAAAACATGCCTAATAACCTAATGCCTTTTGGGTTACCCATTTCTACTAATTTTTTTTGACGTTTATTTATCTTTGAGAGGGAGAGAGAGAGAGAGCATGAGCAGAGGAGGGGCAGAGAGAGAGAGGGAGACAGGACAGAAGCAGGCTCCAGGCTCTGAGCCGTCAGCACAGAGCCCGACGCGGGGCTCGAACCCAGGAACCGCGAGATCCAAGGATTTAATCTCTCCTACCGTGGCCTCTAAACCGTAGTCTATCCTACATTTGCCAAGACGTGCCAGGATGAAATGTTACTGTTTTTGGCCCCATATTCCTGTAGTTCCCCGTTGCAGTGTTACAGAAGGATGCTCCCCAGGAGTACTTTTTATTTAAATTTTTTTTTTCAACGTTTATTTATTTTTGGGACAGAGAGAGACAGAGCATGAACGGGGGAGGGGCAGAGAGAGAGGGAGACACAGAATCGGAAGCAGGCTCCAGGCTCCGAGCCACCAGCCCAGAGCCTGACGCGGGGCTCGAACTCACGGACCGCGAGATCGTGACCTGGCTGAAGTCGGTCGCTTAACCGACTGCGCCACCCAGGCGCCCCAGGAGTACTTTTTATATGAATAAACAATTAAAAGTAAGAAACCTTCCTGTAGAATGCATATTAAATATTAAAGTGGGAGCAATTCTAATTTGAAAATAAAAGAATTACAATTATAAGTGAAAATCTGACTACGGTGCCTTTCAGAGGCTGCCCTCTTCACCGCAGAAAATTTTAAGCTGTGATAGAAACATTCCTTGTGGAAATCGCACCTGACAAAAAGAACTCCAACTCAACCTCACATCCCCCAGCTAAACACATTCCTAAATAAGTACTGGGATGTGGGATGGGGGAAATTATCAGATGGGATCGGACTTTGTCAGCTGGTAATCTCTCGGCGAAGCAGACCTAAATTAATTAAACCTCCAGCAGTGAAGACCCTCTTGACAGAATCGTAGCAGGAGTCAGAGGCCGCAAGTCGCGGGAGCACACTTATAGGCCTCGGAATGGGAACTCAAAGGGTTTGAGGTGGATGTTCCAACACGAGAATCTGGCTGGGTTTGGGAAACTCTTCTGACATGAGAGTTATGATTTTGAGGCTCGTTATGAGGGACAAGGGCAATCCAGTGGACAAAGGATAGCATTCTCAACACATACCATGGGAGCGATTGGTGTCATTGTTTTTAATGAGCTTTCATTTGTACTTCATAGATTGGACAAAAGTTAGATCGAAATGGACCACGGACCTAAATAGAAAACCTAAAACGATACGACTTCTAGAAGAAATGTAGGAGACAATTTCCGTGACCTTGGATTAGGCCAATATTTCTTAGGACGCCAAAATCACAATGTATAAAAGAAACATCAATGAACTGGGTTTTATCAAGGTGAAAACACCTACTCTTCGAAAGAAGCATTCACAGTTCGTATTTCTATGAATTATTTGTATCTCATAGAAATAGAAGCCATGAACTGGTTTAAAAAACTACTTGCAAGTAACAGATTTTATTTAAAAAAAATTGTATGTATAAATAGCTCTTAAAACTCAATAATTAAAATCTGAACAGGGGCGCCTGGGTGGCTCAGTCGGTTGAGCGTCCGACTTCGGCTCAGGTCATGACCTCACGCTCCATGAGTTCGAGCCCCGCGTCGGGCTCTGTGCCGACAGCTCGGAGCCTGGAGCCTGCTTCGGATTCTGTGTCTCCCCCTCTCTCTGCCCCTCCCCTGCTCATGCTCTGTCTCTCTCTGTCTCAAAAATAAATAATAAACACATTAAAAAAAATAAAAATAAATAAATAAAATAAAATCTGAACAGACCAATTTCTGGTAAGGAGACTAAATTGGTAATCAAAAACCTCCCAACAACAACAACCACCACCACAAGAAGTCCAGGACCAAATAGCTTCACTGGATGCCAAAATAAGGATGCCAATAAGGCTGTCAAAAAAAAATTCGAGGTCAATATCCCTGATGAATACAGACAAAAATATTCCTGACCTAATAGTAACGAACCAAACCGAACTATACATTAAAAGGATCCTATGCCCTGACAAGTGGAATTTATTCCAGGGATACAAGAATGGTTTGGCATCTGCAAATCAATCCATGTGACACACACAGTGACAAAATGATGGGTAAAAACCATATAATCATCCAACAGATGCAGAAAACACATTTGAAGAAGTCAACATCCATTCATAATAAAGACTCTCAGCAAAGTGGGTACTGAAGGAACATACCTCGACATAGTGAAGTGGTGTTTCTAATCTGTGGTGTTTCTATACACTACGAAAAAAAAAAAAAACTAGTAGAAAGAGAAATTAGGAAAACATTTCCAGTTAAATTTGCATCCAAAATAATAAAGTTCCTAAGAATGAATTTAACCAAGGAGGTGAAAGACCTATACGCTAAAAACTGCAAAACATTAACAAAGAAATTGAAGAGGAAACAAATAATAAAAGTTTTTCTACGCTCATTGATTGGAAGAATTAATGTTGTTAAAATGCCCGTACTACTGAAAATGATCTATAGATCCAAGGCAACCTCTGTCAAAATCCCAGTAGCATCTTTCACAGAAATAGAACAAAGAAGTCCTAAGATGGGTATGGAACGACAAAAGACCCTGAAGAGACAAAGCAATCTTGAGAAAGAACAAAGCTGGAGGCATCATGCTCCTTGCTTTCAAAGTATATTGCAAAGCTATAGTGATCAAAATGGTAGGGTACTGGCATAAAAACAGACACATAGATCAATGGAACAGAACAGAGACCCCAGAAATAAATCCATACACATATAGCCGATGAATTCATGATGAAAGAATCAAGAATGTATTATAGGAAAAGGACAGTCTCTTCAGGAAATGGTGTTGAAAAGGGTCACACACCAAAGAGTGACACTGGACCACCATCCTATACCATACACAAAAACTAACTCAGAATGGATTGGAGACAGGAAAGAAAGACTTAA